ACCTGGATTCAGAAACCTTCAGTTTCATGAGGCTGTTGTCTGTAAATGAACGGCCGAACGTTTCACTTTGTGTAAACGGGGCCTCAGACTGGCTGCCTGTCTGTCAGTCGAGAGACAAATTTCATAGATGGATGATCAGCTGATGTCTGTTTTTTTATAATACCTACATAATACCTTTGCAATCGACTGGTATATCGCGATCGACGTATTGGGCACCCCTGGTTTAGAGTATTTCTTTTTATTCACAGCTGAATTTCAGACAAATATTCTTGAAAAAGAAAAAAAAAAAAAACGCACGTTTCAGCACGTTGCCAAGTGTCTGGAGGCTCGTGTTCAGTTTAGGTGAGGAACGGGCTTATTTGTGTTTTACACGAAGTGTGTGAGCGGCACCAAAATGCCTTCGCCTTGGCGTGAAATCACGTTTCAGGACGATGAGCTGAGAAAAAGGAAGTGAGGGAGGAGCTGCTTCATGAAAAGTGTTGCCCTTTCAAATAAAAATGAGAACTGTAAAATGAGCAGACAGGATGGGGCGGGCTCACAAAAACAAACCACACAGCTCTGGAGAGCATAAAAACCCAAACTGATACAATTCCGTCAACCGTCTCTCTCACCAGTACTCCTGCTCCAGAGTCATGTGCTTCTCGTAGACTGGGCCCGGCAGCTCCGAGTGGCCCGGGAAGATGACGTCATGCTGGAGGATCATGGTTTTGACGAGGTCATTAACCTGTGGTTGCCTGGCAACAGCATCATCAGAGTCCATCCCCCTCAGGAGGCTCGGGCCGAAACAAACAGCCAAGTTGTAGGGCTGCATCATGTTTTCATCGCTGTACTGAGACACACTGGGGAGAACACACACGGCGGTTCACTATTCTTCATTTAACACCGTGGTTTAATTAAAAAGAACAGATGTTAGGAGTTAGGGAACGTCCTGGGTTCTGTTGCAGCTTACTGGTTGAGGAAGGCAAAAAGGTAGCGCATCACGATGAGGAGAGAACGCGGGAAGGTGGAAAGGATCAGTTTAATCTGGGCAGCTTTCTCCATCTCCTCCTCAATTTCTGGACAATAAAAGAAAAACGTCCAAAATTAAATCTAAAATAAACACCTGACAAAGAGCTTCAAAGTTCTGGCTAGCTGAGCAGACTGAGGCTCAGAGTCCAGGGCAGGGACATTTATTATATTCTGTGTCCACCTGCGTCGGCATTTTATTACTTCTGAACATTCATCTGTTAGAGAATCAGTAGAGTGACGTCTTCTTTGTCCAAGTCTGGCGCCTAAAGGCTAAACTGTGTGATTTGTAAACGGGTAAATCAGAATGACTGAAGCTAAACAGCTAAATAAAATTTTAAAAAGCTAAAATCCAACAGCAGACAGAAGCTCAATGCAGGAAAAGAGGGCGAATGGCTGCTGGAACTTGCTGAAGAAGATGAAACTGAGTTAAAGCTAAAAGAAGCATAACAGTAGCTAAAAAACAAAAGTAGCAAAATATCTTGATGCATGCTCAATAATCCAGGTAGAAAAATCTAAAAAAGTTAAATCTGGTCCTCTGGACCTTTTTTTTTTTTTTTTTTTTTTTTTTTGTTTTGCTTTGTTTTGGGTTTTTGTGAATGTCCAGAGGACCAGATTTAACTTTTTTAGAAAAGTAGCAAAACTTAAGCTAAAAGCTAAACTAGCTAAAACTCTAAAGTAGAAAATGATTGCTAAAAGAAGGATAGTTAACTGATATAAAAAAAACGAAACAATAGCTAAAGGTAAAAAAAAGAAAGAAAGTAAAACACTAGCTAAAAGTAGCAGAAAGTTGGCTAAAAAATATATATAGAAAATGTTAGCTACAAGTAACAAAGCACCAGCTAAAGGAAGCAAAAAACAAGCTAAACAAAAAAGCTAAAGTAGCTAAAATAGAAAATGATTGCTAAAAGGATAGCTTGCTCAAAAACATAATAGCTAATGGTAAAAAGAAGTAAAACCTTAGCTATAAGTAGCAAAACGCTAGCTAAAAACCCAAATATAGAAAATGTTGCTACAAATAACAAAACACCAGCTAAAGGAAGCAAAAAGCAAGCTAAACAAAAAAGTGACTGATAGCTAAAAGCTAAAAATAGAAGAAGTTTAGATACTAGATAAAAGGCTTGATAAATGCTAAAAACAGCAGAACAATTGCTAAAATGTAAAATAAAGTATAACATTAACATAAAACAAAGAGTTTTCTTATTACTTTATTTTACCAGGAAGAAATCCATTGAGATCATCAACCTCTTTTACAAGGATGTCCTGGAGTAGCAAAATTCAAACTAAAAGCCAAAAAGCAAAAGTTCAAGCAATTTCCAAAAATAGCATAAGGCTAGTTAAATGCTAAAATTAGCAGAACAGCTAAAATCTAAACGTATCATAAGAAGACAAATATGGAGCCAGTTTGATATAATTTCAAGTAACGGTACTTGAAGAGATCTCAATGTATGGTCAGTGAAGGTAAATATTTTAAAAAGCAAAAAGTTATAAAAACCACAAGTCATGGCGCTCATCTCCTGGATGAGCTGAATGTTTTTATGTACAAACAGCTAAAATAGCACAAAGCCTGCAGAAGTAGTTCGACTGCAAAACAACGTGCGTAAAAGTAAAAAATAGAAAACGACTGCGAGTTCAGGCTCATCGTTCACACGGATGCTTCTTACGGACACACTCCAGCAGCGGACTGTAGCTTTCGTAGGGGAACAGAGGAGGCTCCAGCCCCCTGAAGTACAGCTTCAACACGCCAGCAACAGAGTCCAGGTCACACTCGGTGTCCGACAGAGGATCCTCTCCTGCCGGGGAATCAAACAGAACCGAGAGGTGAATGGATCAGTCCAGCTAAAGGCTCCCGGTGCAAAAACAACCCAGTTACATTAACAGCTCTCCATGCTGTTATAGCTTTATCAACTATAAGAACTATCTTTGTTGAATATTTTGTTATTGACAAAACGGAAACATTAGACTAACAATCACCATTATGTAGAAATAAATAAATTTCATTGTGTTGTGTAGATTGTTTTCAGCTGCTCATCTCTAAAAGGAATCAGTTCTGTTGCAGGACTCATTGGAAAATGCCTTCCTTCAGTTTGACGGACAGATTTTTTTGATTTGGGATCTTTAAAGTGAATTTTCTGCTTGAACTCCTCGTCTAAAAGGTGAAGCTTGGAGGTTCTGTGTTCATTCAGAGGACGTCAGCCATGCAGCAACAAGGACATGAACTTTTCACCGACCCCCTAATTACGCTCACTGGACTGTGCTACCATAACTCTGACAAATTACAATTAGAAGCTGTTCAGATTTCATTTGATACTACTGCAGGACCTTGTTCAGTTCTAAAAAAACAGCTGACGTCTTATTTTAAAGGCGCGTTTTAACGTGAACACTGAACGTTTACCTCTTTCAAATGCATCTCTGATGAGGTTAACCTCCCTCTGCGAGCCAGGAACTCTGAAAATCCCTTCATGATGGAGGCCTGGACACACAAACACACTGACATTATAAAACATGACCACAGGTTTGAAACAGACAGACACGCTCTTCCACCTACTCTTCATCCAAAGCCTTCTCACCGTGGTTTCCTGATAGATCATAAAAAAGTGACTCACCATGGAGGTTTATGAAACGAACGCAGCTTTCAACCACCACAGGAATCTGCTGCCCAGAGCTCTGCAGAACAAAAATGGGTTAAAGTCATTTGTATTAACAAAATACATATTTTAACAAAGATAGGTATTTAAGACATGCAAAACTGAAGCAAATTACTAAAAAGGAAATTATTGAAGATAAACAGAATATTATGTTGTTACAGGACTGTATGTGTGCTAAATGACTCAGCTAAAACTTAGAAACAGTGAGCTGAAAGTGAGTTGTGAAAGCTAGAAGAAGCAGAACATTAGCTAAAAGCTAAAACTAGCAAAGCACTAGTTAAAAAGGGAAAAAGGCTTTCTAAAACATAAAAGTAAAAACAGGCTTGCTAAAAGCTAAAGTAGCATAATGGCATCTACAAGATATAAGTAAAAATAAGTGATCTAAAAGATTTACATGGATAGTTAGAAGCTAAAACTAGCGAAAGGCTAGTTAAAAGCTATCTAAAGGTTAACTAGAAGCTAAAACTAGCAAAAAGCTAGTTAAA